CAGAGCTGCAGCCCATCTTCTGCAGCGGGAAGAGCCGTGGCAGCCTCCAGTCATTGCTGACAGCCCTCTGACCTCCTTGGCAGCCCAAAAAAGCCAACAAAACACAGGGCACCCTCAGAAAGCCTCTTGCGAGGCACCCTGGTGTGCCCACATCCAGAGGGGTGTGTGCCATCTGGGTTCCCAAGAACCCAAAGCAACGAGCAGCCTCCTCCCGGTGCTGCTTGGTAGACGTTTCCCTCGCAGGGCAGGCACGCTCCTGGCAGTGTGATGGGAGCCAAGAGCCTGGGGATGGCGTGGAGCCCCACTTGGGGGGCAGGACCCTCCCCAGGGGCATTTTAGGGATGACTTTTGGTGGGGTATTAAGCAGCAGCAGGCTGTATCTGAGACAGTCTGTGTCTCCTCGGGGTGGCTGGGAGGGCACAAAGGGAGACATGGCTTCACAGGGAGTCACAGGGTGACCCTGCCCTGGCTCCCAGCCCCTGGGTCACTGCATGTTCCAGTCTCACGGTGAGGCATAGTCCCAGCCTCTGCTCTAGCAGAGCTGCCTGAGCCACGCTGGTGTGCTGGCAGGCTCGTTACAGCAAGTCTGCTTTTAATTAAGGAGGATGCTGCTTTTGTACAGCTGAACCCCTCAGGAGTTCGGGTACTAAGCCTTTGCTCCTGCGGTCGGGCTCCTGCTGCTTGCCCCTGTGCAGAAGGCGAAGGGAGCTGGGGCCAGGGGTGTTGGAAGAATATGCCAAGGCGGCATGTCCGCCCCACACAGGACACCAGCTATGTCCCCAGGGCCACAGGGCACGGTGCCCTGCCCCGGGTGTTTGCTCTCCTCAGGCCTGAAAGCAAAGCCCAGGGCTCTTATCATGCCGGGCAGATAAGAGTTAATGCCCCAGCAGTTGTGCTGAGCTGGCTTTATAGGCAATAAACCTCGGCTGGAAACTGCTTCCTAATCATTACAGATTGAGGTAGCCCTACCTCCATGGCTGTCCTTCAGCAACAGCACCTCTGTCCTGTGGTGCTGCCCCTGTGCCCTCCTCGGCAAAGATACTGGGGAAAGACCCCCTCCAGCCCCACACCCCCCCGATGCCACACAGCCCCCGTGCCACCCTCACTGCGGTGCTGGCACGAAGGACACATGCCCGCAGCCTGCTCCCGGTGCTTGTCTTGGGTGCCAGCCCAGGGCTGAGCCATGGCTGTGTGCAAGAAGAGCAGACCACAGCCTGTGTGGGTCAAACCACTGTCCTTGGGCACTTGCAAGGCACCGTGACAGGGAGCTGGTAACCCTGGGGCATGGCTCTGGCATGGCTATGCCATGGGCACAGCTCCGCTGGGCAGGGGATGTCGGAAATGGCTCCTGCTGCAGTCTGTGAAGGGGACAAGTTTGTCCCAGCCCAGCCAGGAACATGGTCCCCAGCGCCAGCTGATGGCGTGGCCGGGAATGTTTAATGAACAGGAGTGGAGTCATTTGTCTGGGCTGACCCCCCCAGGAAGTCTGCACTCCGCAAAACAAACCAGGCTTTTGTTTGACTTGTTTTAAGTAAAACACATGTCACCCCTGTAAATCACAGGTCCCCTTCCCTGCCCTGCCCTGCGGGCAGCAGCAGAGCAGAGGCGGGCACTGGCCTCAAGGTGCTGGTGCAAGCCCCAGTCACGGGATGCTTGGGTCTGGGCAGGATCTGGCCCCACCATCGGGCTGTGTGCCCTGACCAGGGCGGGGAGCTGGAGCATCCTGGTCCCAGCAACAACCAGCCATGCCCAAACCTGTTCGCACACCCGCCGCAGGCAGCCCCCAAGGGAGGTTTACAGCACTGGACCTGGGGGGCTCTTGCCCCGGCACCTTAAGACCTCCTGTCTCGCCCCCCCACATCCCAGCTGGGCTGCCAGCCTGCTTTTCCACCAACGCCATGCTCTCTGCAGGCCGGATGCCTGGATCCCAGCCCAAGGTCAGCCGGCAGCCGCAGGCCCTTGGCACGAACGAGGACCATGGTTTGGGACAGCCGGCTGGGGGGCTGTGCCGCCGCGGGGCCGGGTCTCGTCCGAGGCGTGCGGGCGGCGT